ATCGGGTAAATCTACTTCTCTCTGTAATGAAAGATAAATATTCTGTATTTTACATGCCAATTGATAATAATAACTGCTAAAAACAACAGTGTACAAATTATGTTTCCGAATAGGGCTTCGACTGCTGTTTATGCTGTACCTTCTAGACATATCAGCTTGTTGCTGTAGTCCGCCAATTCCTGTATAGTCACACGTCCTCGTTGATTGATAAATTTTGCCACTGGAAATGAATGATCGGTAGTTGTTGAAAAACTTTTACATTATTCAGCCGTATCTTGAACAAGATAACCAACAACATAAAGAAATCGAAGCTGTACGACCTGGGATTCCCAGACTCAGAGATCAGTCAGTCTCCCATACATCTTTGCGTTTCAGACAGGCTGAATTCATTCAAAAACTCCCTCAGCCTCTCATTCTCCTGGACATCTTATCCCAAGCACTCCTAATGCTTCCATATACCCTTGGATTCGACTAATGATGGATTTTCGGACGGACGGTTCCCTGTGGCTGATAAATTTCGTTCCAGCGCAGTATTATTTGCGTACAAAAGAACTNATTAGACCACCTACAATTATGGAGGAAAGAAGCCAGTTCGATAGNCAAAAGAACTATCTGTGCACAGCTGTGCTAATTTTTGTTAAGCTAACTGGAACTAGCCATCACTAATTACGATCGAAAAGTGCGTAGTAAGTTGATGAATTTTTTTGTGATAACTGTATAGTGCAAACGTTTCTGACTCATAGATGCGGGCAGTCCAAGCCCAAAAACTCACCAGCCTTCAGCTCTTCATCGGTGATACAAATAAACTTTCCCCTATCATCCATAACTCCTTCCAAAAGACCGTTGTCGAGAAAATACTGGAGACGAGAAACCGCTTCGTCTGATTTCAGACCGAAGTGTGCAGCCAATTCATCCATGTTAACAACCTAGGCAAGTCAAGGATGTATAAGTTGCCCAAATACTGGTTTAAGGAGAAGTAAATCGCAATTTACTTTGCTCTTTGTGATGTAATCCGCAAACTCTTTCATAAGGTTGTGAGACTCTTCTTCCTCAAGCTGGTCGAAACCTTCTTCTTCTACAGCAAACGATTCTTTGAGCTGTAACAGAGAAGGTAAGCCTACCGAGATATCCAGCGAAAAAAATGATGACCGGCAAATTGACTCGCTCAAGAAATCTAGAAAACAGACAAAACTAACGGCTAGATACTCCTCCAGCTCCCTTTTTTCGCGCTCTTCCTTTTCCTTCCTTAATCGCTCTTGCTCCGCTTCTTCTTCAAGCCTTTCCCTTTCGCGTTCTTTTTCCAATTTTTCTTCTTTTTCCTTCTCTCTTCGTTTACGTTCTTCACGTTCGATCAGCTCCTGAATTAGACCACCTACAATTATGGAGGAAAGAAGCCAGTTTGATGACGAACGCTTGCCTGTTCTCGCATAGCTTTCTTCTCTGCTTTTGCTTGCAATTTTGCTGCTTTTCTTTTGCCAATTTTCTCATCCGTTTCGAATATCGGCACGGCACCCTCTTCTTCAGAACCTTAATCTATGAACGTTAATATTTGAAGTGGATAATAGCAATCCCTAAATTCGTTTTATTCAGTCCTTGACTGCGGATTGGATGAGTTCAATGAAGCCGAGTGGATGTTTACATTACCGTCTGGACCTTCTCCTCCAAGCATCTGATTGATGAAATCGTCTTCTCCATGTTGTACTCGTCGACGAACAACCCGTCGTCGACCTCCGGCAACTAAACAGGAATTCATGTAAAACGATAGGAATCAACGAAACACGAACACAAACCTTGGGCCTCCCTCTGTCCATCTCTCTCATCATCTTCGGCCATAGCAAGAAGCGCCTCAGTTCGTCTTCGTGCAGCCGCTTCATCCCATTGAAGGCGTAATAACCGGTATATTATGAAGCAAAGACTAAAGAAAAGGTTTTGGCCGGAGGTTACAGACTCTTTTGAGCCCTTGCGTGTAGGATGAGATTGTGAGAAAAGAAATTACAACTTTTCAAAAAGTTTTCTTGTAGTAATTCCCTAAATTTGGTAAAAGAGACTTTTGTAAGCTCGCTCTTCTTGTAGGTCATACAATAATCCCATCATTTTGGCAATAATTCATCCCATAGAAACAGAAAGACGGAAATTCGAAACAAATCCAGTTTCAGGGTAATCCGACAGTTACCTCATACTACTCCTTTGCAACAAATACGACAGTTTACAACTACTTATAATGCGGTGCTATGTTGAAGGGTACGAGTTTAGATTTACATACTCGATTCATTCTAAATCACAGCAAGTTTTGAGGTGGGAATTGGCGTTTGGTTCGTTTTGCTCAAAAAAGAAAAACTACATTCGAGGTCCACGATTAGGATGGCAAAATCAGTTACACTCCTTTTTAAACGAATTCACCCTTGCAATCATCCTCACTGAGGCAAGGGAAATCGCGAAAAAAGAGGAAAAAGGCTTGTCAGATGGATGTCAACTCGGTGTTTCGGTAGCTACACAGGGTCACTTCTATCGTGAGGAAGATTTGAGTGAGGCTGAATTACTCTCCTGATTACTCCCTCAGAAGAATTTCTTATCGTCTCTGGTTGGCTACTTCGATAGAAAAGAATAGACTGCTTCACTCTA